GGATGGGATCTGAAAAACAGGTGTTCTGTGCTTGTGATCCAGTTGGGACTGATTTCCAAAAAAACAGTGGGAAAGGGAACATAAAGTTCCAAATACTTGTTTGGGGGGTTTATATTTTTTTTATTTAATTCCCATTTTAAGTTACATCACTCTGTTCTTGCAGTAACTGTAGATGATTAGTGTTTATGGTGTTGACAAATACATTCAGTGCCACTAGCTCGGTGAGCAGCTGCAGTGCCCACTGCAGGCTGAGCTCTAGGTGGCTGAAGCCCCAGGCAAGAAGCTGTGGATTACCAACCCTTTGCATAACAGAGGGCACAGGGACCTGTGGCCCGACCAGGTGAATGGACACTCAGAGACACTGCTGGAGCTGAGGACACCCAGACTTGAAGGCACTTAGACTGTGAGGGTATAAAAGCCCAGAGTTTCCTTTGTTAGGGGAACCCTTGGAGGTCCCTCCTCGGAGGCACCCAGCTGGAGCTGTTATTTTGTTAGTTATTGCACTAAGATTAAAGGATTTTAAGGATCAGGATGTCTGAGACTCTGCTATGGGAAATCTGGGGTTGAACCAGTAAGGAAATCTGATCTGACTGTGTGTGGGATGTGTAGCTGCAAAGGGGCCTCGGTCCCAGCTCAGCTGGTGTAAATGTGACTGCCAGAGTGGTTCCCAGATGGTCAGATAGGAAAGTTTCGTTATTAACAATGGCACAGTGCACCATGTCTTTACCACAAAGTGACCTCAGGCAGCAGTTGATTATATCTAGAAAACTAGGTGGAATTGAGTCATAATAATCACTGACTAAAATTTCAAAAATCTTTTGGGAGGGGGTGGTAGTATTTGTCTCTTCAGGTTAAATCTCTAACAGAATTTTCAAAGATATTATGCCACAATGGCCTTTAGTAAATTTCTAAGTAGGACCAATGTATAGGTGTGTGGTAACTATGAATAATAAGCTTTGAATTCTCTCATTGAATTCTGTGGATTCTCTGTCTCTAAGTGCCGTATTCTCCAGTTATCCACTGTCAGAGCTGCTCTTTTTACAAGGAGAAAACAGAATATGGATCATGGTTGTAATATTTTAAGGGTAGAGTCCATATAGCTTAACTCTGGTTTACAGGGCATTAGTTTTACTACTTCACAGACCTCCAAAGGTCACAGAATTGCAGAATATTCTGAGTTGGAAGGGACCCACAAGGATCCTCAAGTCCAGCTCTTAACCCTGCACAGGACATCCCCAAGAATCATGCCATGTGCCTGGAAGCGTTGTCCAAATGCTTCTTGAACTCTGTCAGGCTTCATGCTGTGACCGCTTTCCTGGGGAGCCTGTTTCAATGTCCAGGCACTCACTGGGTGAAGAGCCTTTTTCTAATATCTAACCTAAACCTCCCCAGACACAACTTAAAGGCATTCCCTCAAGTCCTATCACTGGTCACCACAGAGAAGAGATCATAGAATCAGATGGGTTGGAAAGGACCTCTGAGATCATCAAGTCCAACCCCAGATCCACTGCCACCACAGTTACTAGACTATGGCACTAAGTGCCACATCCAGTCTCTTCTTAAATACCTCCAGGGATGGAGAATCCACCACTTCCCCAGGTAGCCCATTCCAATGCCTGATTACCCTCTCTGTAAAGAATTTCTTCCTAACATCCAACGTAAACCTCCCCTGGCGGAGCTTGAGACCATGCCCTCTTGTCTTACTGACAGTTGCCTGGGAGAAGAGACCAACTCCACAACCTCTTTTCAGGTAACTGTAGAGAGTGATGAGGTCTCCTGTGAGTTGAGTCTTCTCCAGGCTAAACAACCCCAGCTCCCTCAGCCTCTCCTCACAGGACTTATGTTCAAGTCCCTTCACCAGCCTGGTTGCTCTTCTCTGGACCTGCTCCAGCACCTCAATATCCTTCCTGAACTGGGGGCCCAGAACTGGACACAGCATTCCAAGTGTGGCCTCACCAGTGCTGAGTACAGGGGAAGGATCACTTCTCTACTCCTGCTGGCCATACCATTCCTGATCCAGGCCAGGATACCATTGGCCTTCTTGGCCACCTGGACACATTGCTGGCTCATGTTCAGCTTCCTGTCAATCCAAACTCCCAGGTCCCTTTCTACCTGGCTGCTCTCCAGCCACTCTGTGCCCAGCCTGTAGCAGCTGCAGGGGGTTGTTGTGGTCAAAGTGCAGGACCCGGCACTTGGCCTTATTGAACCTCAGTCCCTGCCCCTCCTCTTCCTCTCACAAGGAAGTTGTAACTTCAGTGAGGTCTCCCCTCAGTCTCCTCCAGGTTGAACAGACCAAGTGACCTCAACCCCACCTCAAATGGTTTCCCCTCAAAGCCCTCCATCATCTTTGTTGCCATCCTTTGGACAGTCTCTATTGGCTTTGATATCTGTCTTATATTTTGTTGCCCAAAACTGCACACAATATTCAAGGTGAGGCTGCACCAGTGCAGAGCAGAGTGGGACAATCCCCTCCCTTGACCGGCTGGTGATGCTTTGCCTGATGCCCCTCAGGACATGATTGGCCCTTCTGGCTACCAGGGCACTGCTGACTTGTGTTCAACTTGTTGTCAAACAGGACCCCCACATCCCTTTCTGTGGCACTTCTTTCCAGTGTCTTGCTCCCCACTCTGTGCGTACATCCAGTGTTGCCCATTCCAGGTGCAGAACCTGGCACTTGCCCTTGTTAAATTCGGTATGGTTGGTGATTGCCTGGTCCTCTTTTCTGAGACCTTTTTTGAGGTCTCTCTGCAGGGCTTCACTGCCTTCAACAGCTCCTTCCAGTTTTGTGACATCTGCAAACCTGCTTAGTATCCCTTCAAGTCCTGTGTCCTATTTGTTTATGAAGGTGTTGAAGAGCACAGGGTTTAAGATGGAGCCCTGTGGAACCCCACTAGTGACAGGTCTCCAGTCTGATGTCACCTCATTCACTATCACCCTCCATGCTCTACTCGTGAGCCAATTGCTCACTGAACATGTTATGTTTATCCAGCTGTGTTCTGGACATTTTGAGATGGTATCGAAAGCTCTATTGAAATCCAAAAAGATTACATCCACTGGTTTCCCTTAGTTAACTAGGTGGGCTACCTTATCATAAAAAGAAATTAGGTGTGACAAGCAGGACTTTCCTCTCATGAAGGCATGCTGTCTGTGACCAAGGTCTTCATTAAAAAGTGTTTGCTAAAATGTGGCCTATGGGTCCTTGGGTGTCTGAGAGTTGTCAGGTTATCATATGGATATTAGGTCCATAGGGCCTCTCAAATGTAGATGTTAATGTTTCCCCTGTGAAGTTTGATAACAGGAAAACATAGCAGTTTTTGGGAAAAATTGGGAATTGCTTCCTCAATTTGCACATTTTCTCTGCATGTCACAGTATCTCTAGAAGCTAATTCATTTCTTGAGAGATAGTATGATATTCAGGAATAGCCTACAGGACAATCTAAGTCAGTTCAAATCTGGGAGATTCATAGTTTGCATCGTTGATCCAGAACTAAGTAGTAATTGGTGTATAGTTACAGATGACAGAACTAAGTAGTAATTGATGTATAGTTACAGGTTACACCTTTTTGATTGTATGAATTTTTATCCATCAAACAGTTCACAGTAAACTATTTCTAGCAACTGACACCTTTATAAACTTTTGATCTACTTTTACCAGGAAGACTCAGCGTTGTATTTGTAGTCCAACCTGTTTATCATCTGCACTGAATATCTTTATATCTTCAAAACTTTGTATCCTCAAAAGAATTATAAAATTCTTTTAACCTCTCTACTTAAAAAACTGATATAGACTTCTGTTCTTCAAGGCTTGTGTAAATGGTTGTAGTTGCTGTTTTCTCCCTTCTGGCCTACACATACATTTCCATCTTATAGTGACTAGAAGTGCCAGTGGGGGTGATGTCTCATTCTGACATAGGGCTTGAAACACGTCTGAATCCAAAGGCACGATTCAGCAGCACTGTCTGAAAGTCTACATAGTGTCTTATAAAATGGATTTATTGGTGTTTGTTTCAGAAGGTGCTTTCTAGAACAACAGACATTTTTCTGTTTTTATGGCCTTATGAACAGTAAATTATTTCAAATGTATCACTAAATTATTTTAAATGTATCATTGCTACTTGAGTGTAGTTCAAATTGTAGAAGAACCCCCACCTTCTTATTGAAAATCCCTCCTACCCTCAGTGTCCTCTGAAATGTGAAGGATCCACTCTCCCATTTCCTGGGATGCTCACTGATGCCAGGGTTCAGCATGTAGACTTCCAGAGCAACAGTAATATCTGTCATTTTGAATGAATACAAATCTGTAACAATCTATGTTTGTACAATCCCAGTGGAAACATGTGGTGTCAGCTGTGCTCACAGTACTTTAAAGGCTTTATTAAGTCAGCTGGCAACACACCCCATCTCCAGGCACTGACTTTTATGGCAAAGGACCTGAGACTTTTTTTCCCCCCCCTTTTTATTTTTTTTTCCTTCATTTTTTCCCCCCTTCCCATGTCAACTAGCTTTCAGAACCACAGGAACTGGTTTTATAAAAGTCTTTTGGGTGTGCTGTTATGTTCATAATACCCACAATGTAGTTTTCAGGTGAGCATTTTTACCCACCCACACAGTCTTACACATACACATACACATGCACATACTTTCAAGTACCTTTATGCAATCTGATATAATTCTGTTCAACTTATTACTATTGATTGAAAGAGAAACTGTACAGAATTTATAAATATTTAAACCAGCTTTCTTAGCCCATGAATGTAGCTATTTGAAAGGAGGCTATGATAAACTGCTTGAGGGTTCTGGACCTTATATCACAGTAAAATTCCACGATTACTCTGTCCAGTGGGCTTTTATTTAAGAACTGTACTTGCTGTTTGCTTTAATATAGTCAAAATTGTTTAATTAGTAAATGTTAAAATATTAGTTTGCTTAAGTCATGTTTTGAGAATCAGTTGTTCAAAGACTGAACTTTCCAGTGACATTCAGAATCTTTTCTCTTGCAGCCATTTCGTAGAGTGACGTTTTCTGTTGTGAGTCAGCCTCAGGACCCACATCAAGGGTCATTGCAGAGTTGCTATGACAGCGGTCTGGAGGAGTCAGAAACACCAAGCAGTAAGAGTTCATCAGGGCCAAGACTGGGTGCCCTTCCACTCCCAGAGGACAACTACGAAAGGACTACGCCGGATGGCAGTGTTGGTGAGGCAGAGCATATGGAAAATGGTAGGGGCAAACACAACATTCACACACATAATCTCACTAGCAAGTTATACTAAGTAGACTTTTGAAAGGTCAGTCCAAAATTATAAATAAATATATTAAATAGTTAACGCTGTAATAATTTTATTTTAAAGCTTGTTAAAATGCAGGTATACAAAATAATGGAACATAACACCTCTAAAAAACACGGCACTTTCATTTCTTTACATGATTTAAAATCTATACTGCAGAAGCAGTTAAAACAGTGGAAAAAAAAAAACAACAAACAACAGTAGAGGGCTGGGGAGATGGTAATTGAATTAAATTCCATACTTTTCATTCTAGATAAAAGACCATAAAGGACATGTATTCTCGTTTCCTTCCATATTTTGTCCAAAAACTACTTAGGAAATTTCCTAGAATGTAATATGTACAGCATCAGGAAAAGAAAATAGGATTTAAAAAACCCCACTCTAGAGAATTCTCTTTTCCCCAAAAATGTTATGTAGATTGCTTTCAATATAATGCCAAATGACAAGCCCATTCTTTATTATTTAGAAAAGAAGAACATTACTTTACTTTTCTTCACTTTTTATTTTACACAGTACTTTTACATCTCATTTAAATTCAGGATCCATTTATGTAGAAGGGGAAAATGCTGCATACTTATTTATTCCATAGTAATTCTCCTACTATTAAAAAACCAAAATATGGTAATATAAATCTTAGGTTAGGTTCCATTTTTCTTTTTATCTAAAATTATTTAGGATTAAAAAAAAAAAAAAAAGAAGACCTATTCAATTTGAAATGTATTTTATAAAACATGAATATTTCACTCTTCTCCACTTAGTGGTCTTGATCTAAAATTTTATGAAGTCAGACACTGACTTCATTGTATTTTCATTTGCCCATAAACAATGAAATAAATTAGTATATGTCAAGGTGTACAGATTTTTGATAACCAATGAAATAATGGGTTTTCTAATCCAATTATAATTGATGAGTACATGTAAGAAGGGTGGTGTATTTTTTATTATTGAATGAATTAATTAGTTTGGCTAAGTGCATGGTTTAGTTTTTCAGAGATTACAACACTGGATAACTGTTCCTTGGGTTTTGTCTTTTCTGAGATAGACATGTCGACCCAGTAAAACTATGTTATTCTTCATGGTAAGATATTGTCAAATCTAGCATGTATGACTAAAGAATGGCTATAGCAGTCTACGTATGCTTCAAATGTATATCCCAATAGCAAATAACTAAGTGATCAAAAAGAAAGATGGCATTATCCATCTAAAGATGTGTTAGGTTATGTACGTTTATAGGTGTGTGTCTATATAATCTTCTTGTTTGTTTTTTTATATGAATATATTTGTTTACATTTCATTTTTTCTGGACATGTGGGGGGAAAGTGACAAAGGTATTACTGGAAGAATGTCAGAAAAAAAGTTTATAGACTTTATACCTATATTGGGTTGATTATTTTATTGTCTGTTTTGTAGTGAGATCTTGTGGTTAGGGTAATAATATTAAACAATTGGCTAATTCCCTTGCATACAGCATGTAGAGGATTTGTAGACATTAAATTCTGAGTTCAAAGTGTGCTAACATGGGGTAAACCTGAGCTGCACTGGAGGAACAGTAAAGCCGGAAGTGAATATAATTTTTAATGTATTCGATAGCCAATAAGAAATAATAATGAAAATATTAGGAAATAATAATGGAAAAAAATCACAGTTACGGAAGTGTAATTGAAAATGAATAGTGCTTGAGCAGTGTCATAAGGTAAAGTAAACCAGTTTACATAAGATTTTGTGTTGATGCAAAAACTGGCATTGCGCTATAATAACTAAAATATTTCAGACCTAAGCTTGATTTTTTGAAAAATGGTATTTTATATATGGTAGGATAAATTTGTTGTATTCAGTTTTAAAAATAAGGTTCTATAGTCAGTAGATAGAAACATAGAGGTAGATAAATACATTAATTCATGGGTAAGTGAATGAAAAATCTCCAGGAAAAAAATTCTGCGTGGTAGGACATGCATATAACAACCGGGAATTCCTCCTCCTTTATCAAACCTTGAACTGAAACCTTTGAAAGGTGGGTGATATTGTGATGAAAATTACACTCTACAGACTTTTGGATTTCAACAGTGGCATGTCACCTGCCTCCAGAAATTTCTGTTAACATTAATGTATAAATAATGATAGAATAGGTTGGAATCTACTTTTATTCCTTCATATATGTAATATCTGACATTTTAGTGAGAGTTTTCTGTGATATGATTCTTTAGTCCATTTGTATTTTAACTATTTTAAGGACAATTGTATTGTTCAAATTCTGATAATGTAGTCTTCAATATTAATGGATCATTCTGACAGAAATAGAATTGGAATTGAAATCTGTCAAGCATTCATTTGTCACATTTAATTGGAATCAGGGTAATCTGCAGTGTTTAGCTTGGTTAGGTTTTAATCAGGATTTATACTGGATTTTCATGCAGATTTTCCATGGAAACAGGACTTTGGAAGTGATCTTGATTATTAATTTTTACTTCAAATATTTACCATTTAATTTCAGTTAGTGAAACAATGCAGTTATAACTGATTGCTTTGTATTTCTTCCATTTTAGAATTTGAAAGGATAATTTTCAGCACAGTACGTGAAACCTTCTGGTACATTTCATACTTTTTTTTCAAGCTAAGATGACTAAGGAAAATAAGAAATCTTTATAGTTAAGGCAAATTTAAGAAGGTTGACTTCACAGGCAGAGTAAATAGGAAAGTTCTGTTTGTTGTTAAGAGCATCTTTCCATTTTCTTAGCTGAGGATAAAATGATGGGAAATTTAAAAAAAGGGTAAGAGGGTTGATTTTCTTAGAATATGCTGTACATTGCCTACCAGCCTACATGACTGTCAGATGTAGATTGAAGTTTTGTTCTGATGATTAGCTGTGGTGTCAGATGCAGGAGGGAAAAAAAAAGAAAGAAAAAAAGAAATGTTAGCAGATTGACTGTGAAAATTCAGTATGCAAAGATCTTGTTAATTAGTAAAATCTGCAGAACCAAAAGTAACTTCTGAGTTAATTTATCCCCTGCCCTTGGAGCTTTCCTTATAAGGAAATTCTGCTCATATGTGCAGCCTTCTTCTCTAATTTTGCTGTTAGAATGGCACAGCCTTAATGTAAATTGCAGAATAATTTCTTGAGAACATTTTCATTACATTTGTATTTGTATATCAAGGGTAAAGACATTACCATGGCAAATTAGTTTCCTGGTCTTTAGTCATAGCCTTCTGGTTTTGACAATGCCTAATACCACATCTCTGAGGAAAATTTAGAAGAAAATCTAGTGACGGAAACTTCCACTGTTACCTCTCTTTCTGACTCTAACAGTTAATAGTCAGCATATGTTTAAATTATGATTTTCTAAATAATAATAATAGTACTAAAAAAACCCTAATTTATCACAAGTCAAGTTACTGGTGTGAAGGATGTCTTTCAACAAGAAAATTCTCTGAAGGCTATGAAAATTTTGGGGGGTTTATTTTCTTTTTTCTCTAATATAAGTATTTTGGTAACTATTCCTTTTTGTCATTATGAGAAAGAACATGGAAGCATTTCATTTTACCTTTTAAATACGATGTTTCCTTATAATTTACCTTTCTTCTGAATTATAAATATTCCTAGGTTCTACTTCTTCTAGTGAAAGTAGGGATAGCTGGAGATGTATATTCTCACAATTTGTGGAATGGACAATACAGCCTTTTCATACTAATTTATAAGTTATTGAGTACACATATGGTCTCTAAGCGGAGACCTTCCTTCTTCAGTTTCATGTCCATTCACCTGATTGTTAGGTCTCCCTCATATTTCTTGCAGACCCTCTTAGAAATATTTCATTATATTCCTTCCCCTCACCCCCTGATTTCTGTATGGGTACTATTTATTTATGCATGTAGTGGTCTAATCATTTTTTTTTTGTTTGTTTAATTTAGCTAGAGTACCTATAGCAGTGAAACAGAAGCATTTCAGATCTCCAGATCTTCCCTGGAGATTTGTTTCCATGCAGTCCTAATTAGACTGTTTGCCACACCTGAGATACCTGCCTTAAAGCTAGCTCAGGTATTTCTATGTGAATATGTCTTTGATCTTCAGCACAGTATTTTAAGTTAGCCCATGTTTCAGTATCAAATATATAAGGGTTGGAGAAGAGCAGCCATCTCTATGAAAGAAGGAATAAAGCAATGCTTTGCAGTTTTCATTTTTACGGGGAGAAATGGAGTAAAGAAAGATTAAGTGACGTATCTGAAGTTACAATGAAGTAAGGAGCAGAGCTTCAAAAGGAACTCAGAATTTTTGTGATTCAGTTACTTGACTCCCACAAAGAAATCAGTAGATAAATGACACTCTGGCTGACACATGAAGAACTAAAAGGCAGGGAAGAGAAGTGCATTACCTTGGTTCATATAGTCTGATAATATGCCCTGTTCTCAATGACAATTTCATATTTAGACTGCAAGTGTCCAAGTTCCACCATCAATTTAGAGTTCATGATGTGCAAAATGATGACTTGAAAATGTAAAAGGAATTTTGACAATTAATAAATGCAATTAATTTTATTTATAAGAACATTCTCTTGCTTTTACCTATAAGGTAGATTGTTAATCTGTTTCCTAAACCAAAATGTGAAGAAAGGAATCCATTAGTTTAGAAAACCCATGTTTACAGAATTTATTTCCCTTTAGCTTTTTCTAATGCAAATAATACAGATTATTGTTCTTAAAGACTTAACTGTCCTTACTGTAAACACGACAGACCAGACATTCAGTGACTTATTTCATAGAATGACTGTATTTCTGCAGTTTCCATTATTTTCAAATGTTCTGTTCTCTTCAATTCAGGTCCTAAAATTGCATGAGAATAATTTTGTTTTTAAAATTGTGTTCTGAAAATGTGGATGTAAGTAGTCCATCTGAGAGGCTGAGTCAGAGTCAGTAAAGGTTTTCAATGTACTGATTACA